ATGTGTTTAAAGATTTAAGAACTTACTTGCATCACCCTACAGCTCCATGTAGCTTACAAGTGAATAACTATATTTATACATATAAAGTAATTAACGCATGATGGCAAATGTCACCAAGGTTGATCTGGTGCAGAAGGAACTTGAAGTTGATTGGATGCAAAAGATGTCAGAGTTTGAGAAACGCTTAAAAGCTGCTTTAGTCCCATCAAATCCAACCTTGGTTCAGCTAAGTGAGAAATTTTATGCTTTTAAAGACTTAGTGAGCAACATGTTTAGTCTTCTGCAGCAACAGTTTCGGAGGTGTACTAATGTAGTTGATGAAATAGATATGCGACAAAAGCGTAAGGTACTACGTTTTAATGGTATTCCTGAAGAGTCTGGATTAAATGTGGAACAGGAGGTACTTGCAATTGTTCATCAAATTGGGCCTTTCACATATAAGCATCTCTTCCTTGAAGCGCTGTCATCGATTGGAAGCTCCGGGCAGTGATTGGACAAGAGCTGTACTTGTTCATTTCCAAAGTTATGATACTAAATCTGAAGTCTGGAGATCTAAGGCAAAATTAAAGAATACACCATACACAGTATCAGAGTTTCTCACTAAAATGAGACAGAGTACATTTCAGAGGACATTTCGGCATGAAGAATGTTTGGACTCTTGATGGAACCATAAACATTAGGCTTCGTGATAGTAGCCGCATAAAAATTTCCACTAAGGAAGAGTTTGACATCCTTCTTACTAAATGGCCCAAGCCTAATTCTCCTTCTGTCACTGCGCAGAAAAGCCCATTAGAAGCCAGTTGTCAGCAAGGTGGGGCAAGGCGTAGACAAGTCATCCCAGCGGTTCAAAGTGTAGAAATCAAGAAGACACGTCGTGTTGTGCCAAAAAAATAATTCCTCTGCTATCGGCAGTTTGTATTCTATCTTCAGTTCTTAAGTTCTTTTTATTTTTTTATTTTTTTTTTCTTTGGTTTTTCATTTGTTTGTTGTCATTGTTTATCATACGTTGACGGTAATTATATTATTTACATTATTTGCTTGATAAAACAAATATACAGCGGATAATCTAATAGTGACAGTTCGACACAAAGAGTATATAATCACTATGTTTATGGAGTAAGCTTTTGTATAGAGGATAGAATAAGCTGTGTTCGAAAACTAAATTGTACATTATTAATCTTGTATTTCGAAACTTAATCGTATTCCTTTGGTTTTTTATTTTTGTATACCTTCTTGCTGCTCTGTTAGCAAAATTTAAGTTCTTTTGTATCACACTGTTAAAACTATGTTCTTTTTACATTACTGTTTGTTTTGGTGAATTCTGTTGTCAAATAGTATCTATTAAGTTATCTTGTTAATTGAATAACTTAGTGATTAACTAATACTAAACTTTTGTCTAAACTATTATTTTTTTGAATTACTTTATTTTGAAGAAGTTTTTTCTATAGATTGTGTTCATGCAATCTTAGTATCAGAAAGTTGGTTAAAGCCATCATTAGTGTCCAGCTTATATCCTCTAAATGATTTTGTTCTTGTGCGTAACGATCGGATTGAAAGAGGAGGAGGTGGTGTTGCCATATACCTTAGAGCAAACATCCCTTATAAAATAATTTTAGCTTCTCCATCTGCGTATTCTGCCTCATCGGAGTTTCTGTTTCTGGAAATTGATATCAAAGGTGTAAAGGCAATTCTTGGGGTAGTATACTGTCCACCTGCTGTTAATTTTTTCGACGCTTTTGAAAGCGCCCTCGCCTCCACTTCATCGGAGTACACGCACTATACAATAATGGGTGATTTCAATATTGATTTGTTGAGAAATTCTTCTCGTTCTCAAAAATTTCGTTAAATCATAGTCAGTCGATCTCCAAATTCTCCCCTTAGCGGCAACTCACCACAACATTGACACTGATGACTCATTGATTGATCATATTATCACGGCTTCTCCCGATTATGTCTTTAAGGACGGACAACTATCGGCTCATGCTTTTTCACGACATGATCTTATTTATATATCATATAAGCTGATTTCTCCTAAACTCAATCCCGTCGTACTATACATTCGTAATTTCTCTAGAATGGATTTTGATAAACTTAAAAGTGACGCCTATCGTATTGACTTACCCTCTTTATTTAAATCAACTTGTATTGAAGATAAAGTCTCCATCCTTAATAATATATTTCTTGGTCTGAACAACAAACACGCTCCCAAACATCAAGTAAGAGTGAAGCGTTCACCAGCCCTGTGGATGACTGAGTCCGTAAGGTTGGCAATGACTAGGTGAGATTGAGCATTTGTGAAATTTAAGAAGCATCGTACACAGGACAGCTGGGATCGCTACAGAGTGCTAAGAAACAGATGCAATCAGATGGTACGAAATGCTAAACGCCGTTATGTCCATAGTAATATAGCAAACTCTTCAACCGCTGATATATGGAAATTTCTTAAAACACTAGGTATTAGTAAGACCGTTACATCTGACCGTGATCCATCAATCACTTTGGACGAAATAAATCATCACTTTATTTCTACTTCTCCTTTGGATCCTACAGTTCATTCTACGACAATAGCTTCCATTCAATCCATGCCTTCTCTTCCTATTCCTTTTTTTCACTTCTTACCTGTGACTGAGGATGAGATACAGAAATCTGTACTAGCTATTAAATCCAAGGCTGTGGGTTGCGATGAGGTTAGTAAGGTTATGGTATCCATGATCCTTGAGTGCCTTTTGCCTGCAATCACACATATCATAAACTATTCCCTTGACTCAGGTCAATATCCTACTCAATGGAAAATAGCATTTGTGCGACCACTTCCTAAAATACCTAATCCCTCATTACCTACCCATTTTCGACCAATTTCAATATTGCCATACCTATCTAAAGTTCTGGAAGCCTGTGTTCACAAGCAAATCTCTATGTTCATAACCAAATAGAATCTGCTGAATATCAATATCAATATATGAAAATATATGAAATATCAGTCAGGCTTTCGTGCAGGTCATAGTACTACCACTGCATTGATAAAAGTCACAGATGATATTAGAAGGTAGTGCTTGTTGACTTTTCAAATGCTTTTAACACAGTCGACCACGATATCCTTATAGCCTTCCTAACTAATCTTAGATCCTCAATTCCAGCTTTGGAATGGTTTTCATCCTATCTTCGCGGCCGCCAACAATCAGTACGATTAGGGCAAGAGTTCTCAAGATAGGCTGACATTGAAACAGGCAGAATACTTTCTCCTATAATGTTTTCTTTATTCATAAATTCTATCACTTCAGTTCTCAACTGTTCGTACCATCTGTATGCAGATGATCTTCAGCTCTATGTGCAATCTAGTGTTAATGACCTTAAAGATAATAGTCAAAAACTCAACCAGAACCTCGATGCCATAAGAGATTGGTCGTACAGACATGGTGTTTTGGTTAACCCAACCAAATGCAAAGCAATGGTTATAGGTAGTAGCAGATTGTTGGCTAAGATTAATAACGATAATCTTGCTCCCGTCTTTTACAATGGAACGTTGTTGCCATTTTGTAAGTCTGTCAAAAATCTTGGCTTACATATAGACCATACCTTAAGCTGGGGAGTTCAAGTTGCCGAAACAAGCCGTAAAGTAACTGCCACCTTACGTTCTCTTTGTCGTCTCAAAAACTTTCTGCCTTTTAAAACTAAACTTCTGCTAATCCAGACTTTGATATTACCCATTATTGATTATGCGGATGTGTGTTACCCAGATCTATCTCAATATCTTCTCGATAAGTTGGAGCGCCTTCTCAACAATTGCATTAGATTCATTTTCGGCTTACGTAAGTATGACCATATTTCCCAGTACCGATCTAAGCTTAAATGGCTCTCTATTCGTCAAAGGCGTAGCTCCCGAACTTTGCAAGTACTACATTCAATTTTAAATGACCCCAATTCTCCCTCTCATCTTAAGGATAACTATCAATATTTGTATTCTACCAACGATAGAGTTCCCCGTTCCCAAAATTGTCTTAAAATTCGTATTCCACCACATAGGAGTGGTTTCTTTAATTCCTCTTTTACTATACAGTCTATACTGCTCATCCTGCCTGTTTATATCAAGAAAACTAATAACAAGAATTATTTTAAAAGACTAGTTCGAGAGTTCTGTCGTAAGAATAATACCACCTGACTATCCGACTATTGTATTTTTTTTTCTCTCTCTCTCACTTTATAAGTAATATTTTGTATAATGTATTTTAATATGTATTATGTTATTTTATATATTTATTATTTATCCTATATTATATATTAAGTATGTATATTTTACTATCTATATATCTATTATATTCATTTGCATTTTATTTTATTTTATATTCTTATTATTTATTTATGAAGTGATTGGTTACACCTGCCACAGTTTCTCAAATCATCCAGGGTTGACTGGCAGAGAATGCCATAAGGCATTAAGTCCGCCCTTTATATCCCTTAGTATATAAGGTGTATAAAAAAAAAGAAAAAAAGTAACATAGAATTATATAAAATTTATCTTTTATACTATAACGAAAGTATAATTATAATTTGTTAAAGTTTAGGGGTGTCTGGCGGGGGGTAGCAACTGTCATAAGCGTCCGGCAATGGATGACGAGTTTTCTAAATTTATCCCGAAGAAAATATAAAAAAAATTATACTTTAACGAAATTAAGGTACTATTTTATACACCTTTACTACCTGTTACCTGCCCCACTCTATAGTCGCTGGTCGTTCTTACCTGTGTGGGGGACATGCACAGAAAAACTTTCAGCTTTTATAAATAACGAAGGTCTGGCGTCTGCACTATAACACAAAAAAAAATGCTACCTCTTCTTTTTAAATATGTGAGGCACTTTTCCTGCCAGGCCTATTTGTTTGACTCTTCTCCTTATATTGAGAACTATCATTACTTTTGTGTGTATGAACATGAATTACATAGAAATAGTTGTCAATAAAAAAAAACAATATATATCTCTCATTATGTAGTATATATTTTTTACCTTTTGTGCAATGAGCACCTCTTTCAATCTGCTCCATATCTTGCATTTTAAACTTAAAAAAACTATTTTTGTCATCATTTGCTTCAGTAGCCTCCACAATATTTAGGTTCTCTATTTGATTTTCAATGTTAGATATATCATTTGTTTCCTCTGTGTTGCTAGTAACTTCATGTGAATGTAATATTTGTGTGCAGACATCAGCTATAGCAGAGTTTTGAGCAATTAAATTTAATATCATTGATTTGCCAACTCCTTGTGTACCTGTAAGTAAAAAAAGAACAATTAAGTTTTTGAAATACATACATAATTAACTGGTTATAGTCATTTTTACATTACTTGGGACAAGGGCACGGATATTTTTTTATATACCATAAGAAAGGGATCTGCTCTTACCCTATATAAACTTTTTAAAGCGAAAGTGAACAAAATAACCTGTTCCTATTGCATTCTGCTATTCTTCTCTTCTTCATCATGAGTGAGTAAAAGTCCACTGTTAGACAATGGACTGTCTTACTTTCTCTTCACCACTATTTGGCAATATACCTATTCTAAAATGTCGAACCTAAGCCTCATAAGCGAATGATGGACAGTAGGGATGTGTCCCTCACTCACGAGTTACTTCGTTTGAGGTCCTTGTGACAGCAAATTAGAGTTATTCGAACTTCAACACTGAACTAGCTCATTCACTCGTTCACATCCTCGCATAAATTTACGACAATAATACCCCCCCTCAACTCACGTTTCTAATAATTCAGTAACAACGATAGACATCAAATAAATATGACTGTGTTAAAACATGCTTGCTTTCGAAAAAATTTTCAGGAGATCTCGCCTTGTGAGGTGAATACGCCGTCGAGCGATTCCCCACCTCAAATGAGGGGTACCTCGTGAGTACCTCGCGAGGTAAAATGACGTAGTCCCTTATCCTCAAATATATTTTACCCATGACTAATGGACAGAAGCATCACTGGTACGAGATATTGTCTCTGTCCTCATCAACCTGAAAGCTGTATTATGACTAAAACACAATATTACAAGAATATCAAAAATATTAGAACAAAATAGCAGCATAACGGCGTCCTATTTACAAGTACGGGAAGGTATTTCCATTTGATCACATTCAGAGTAACTGGAACTCCAGATGACCAAGTTCCTTCAGTTTGGCTTGATTCACTTAGTCGTTTTAGGCGTTTTTGCATCTCCTTAAATTTTATTGCATATATAAGAGAAATCCAACCGTCGTATAAAACGATAGAATCCTAAATTCAATCCACATCATCTCGATAGTTGCAATATGCACCACCTTGTTTTAATTGCAACATTGGATTAGCCATGTAGTGCAGAGTAGTTTGAAGAAACTTGTTAAACCTTCTTTCTGCGCTACTGTTTGGCCCGACACTTATTCTATTGATCAAACTTCACAGCATTCTCACAGTTAAACTTGCTTTTTTAACAATTCAAACGGGATTTCCCGGGTAAATTCCGGTATTTACACTTTCACTAACAACATGGACTGCACCATCTATCTCTGATCCAAGCTGGGGAATATGTGACAGTGTTGTCACTGGATAATAAGCGAAAAGACTTTTCGCTATAGAAATTTACGAGATTGCTATAAATAAAAAAGACTCCTCACTTTTACAGTGCTTCATGAGTTGTCAAACATATCGCCTGGCGGAAGACCACCCTCACGACAAACATTAGGGATAATACATCAACAACGGGCCCAAGATTTACATTAACTAACATTTCTTTAGCTTCTGCTGTTTTATTGTTGTATTTTTGTATCTTTCTAGGTGGTAGTACTTCGTTTTTGCCTAGAAGTATGGTTTTTTTTTTTTTTTTTTTTTTTATAGAAGAGGGGGGCAAACGAGCATGTGGCTCACCTGATGTTAAGTGACTACCGCCGCCCATGATCAACCGCAACACCAGGGGAATTGCAGGTGCGTTGCCGGCCCTTTAGAAAGGAGTAAGCTCTTTTCTTGAAGGTCCCCAGGTCGTATCGGTCCGGAAAAATCACCGGTGGTAAATTATTCCACAGAGAGGTTGTACGCGGAAGAAAACTCCTTTTGAAACGTACAGTGGTGGACCGCCAAGCATCCAGATGGTGTGGATGGTATCGGGACGTTTGCCGTGTAGTGCGTTCACGAAATTTGGCGGCTGGGATTAATCCGAACAATTCCTCAGAGCACTCCCCGTGATAGATGCGATAAAATACGCAAAGAGATGCAACATCTCTTCGCAGCGCCAGTGAATCGAGCCGATCGGAAAGCACTCGGTCGTCGACGATTCGAGCCGCTCTGCGCTGGATGCGGTCAAGTGGAAGGAGCTGGTACTGGGGGAGCCCCAGCCCAGAGATGGGAACAGTATTCCATGAGCGGCCGAACCTGCGCCTTGTAAAGTTGCAGGCGGTGTGCCGGCATGAAATACTGTCCCGCTCTGCTGAGCACGCCAAGCTTTTTTAGAGGCCAATTTGGCCTTCCCTTCCAAGTGACCACGAAACTGCACGTCACTCGATATGTCGACGCCGAGGATTCCGATACTGGCTGAGGCAACAAGGGGAGTGCCTTGAAACTGAGGGGATACGACAAAGGGGTTCTTTTTAGCGGTTAACGCGCAAACTTGTGTCTTCTGGGGGTTAAACTGGACTAGATTTAGTCGCCCCCAATCCGAGACTCTGTCCAGCAGAGACTCGACTTCAGACACAAGTTTGTCCCGGCACTCAGAGACGTTTTCCCGAGAAATATTTGCTCGGCCGGTGTAAAGAGCATCACCAGTGCTGTCATCTGCATAGCAATGAATGCTACGGGTTTGCAACATATCATTGATATGCAGAAGAAACAGCGTTGGCGATAGCACGCAGCCCTGTGGAACACCAGCATTAATAAGCTTGCAATCGGAGCTTGCACCGTCTACAACGACCTTGATGCTCCGATCTGCAAGAAAACTGGTGATCCAATCGCACAATTTCTCGGGAAGCCCATAGGAAGGGAGCTTCGAAAGAAGCGCTTTGTGCCAAACCCGATCGAAGGCCTTCGCAATGTCCAAACTAACGGCCAATGCCTCCCCCTTGGACTCTACTGCCTCCGCCCATCTGTGAGTTAGGTAGACCAGAAGATCACCAGCTGACCTACCACGGCGAAAACCGTATTGGCGGTCACTAATCAGCTGGTGATCCTCAAGGTACCTCATGAACTGGCAGTTTACAATGGACTCCATTGTTTTGGAGAACAAGGAGGTGATGGCGATAGGCCGGTAGTTGGACGGGTCTGAGCGGTCGCCTTTTTTAGGGATCGGGTGGACGAAAGCCGTCTTCCATGATTTTGGGACTACGCCTAGGGAGTAGGAGTACCGGAAAAGACGCGTTAAAACCGGTGCCAACTCTGGAGCACACGTCCTCAGCACAATTGGGGGGATTCCATCAGGCCCACTCGACTTATGGATGTCCAGGGAGAGGAGTGCTTTGCGAACCGAGCGCTGAGTGAAGTGCACTTCCGGCATGGAGCACTCACACCGCGGGATGGTCGGCGGCGTACTCCCCCCGTCATCGAGAGTCGAGTTAGACGCAAAGAAAGAGCCTAGAAGATCGGCTTTCTCCTTTGCGGTGTGGGCCAGTGAGTCGTCCTCCCTGTGCAGAGATGGAAGAGATGGCTGACAGAAATTCCCCTGGACAGCCTTGGCGAGAGACCAGAATGCACGGGTTCCAGAAGGAAGACGAACTAGTCTCTCGCCAATTCTGCCTATGTGCTCTGACTTTGCCTTGGCAATGACTCTTTTGAAGGACCTAGAGGCGGAATTATACTTCTTTTTTAGAGCGCTGGTGTTTACATCCCTGGACGCTGATGCGTCAGCCCAGGCTTGGTAGCACTCCTGCTTATAGCATGATGCTATTTTACAGGAGCGACCAAACCATGGCTGAGATTTGCCTCCAATGGGCACCACAGAGGAAGGAATAAAAAGTTCCATACCCTGAAGTACCACATCAGCGACAGAATCCGCAACAACGTTGGGATCATCCGGCGAGAAGCAAACCCGCCCCCAAGGGTAGGATGCAAAGAAAGACCGCATCCCATCCCAATCAGCTGACCTATAGTGCCAAACACGGCGGCAGCCTGCAGAATGCAACCGCGATTTCAGCGTGAGTGGCACCACACTCCGGACAAGACAATGATCCGAGGAGCCTAAAGGGGCGTCGACGGAAATCTGATATCCGTCCGGGTGAGAGGTCAGCAGAAGGTCCAACAGGGAAGGTGCATGATCCTCCACATCTGGAATCCGCGTAGGCGAAGTAACCAGTTGTGTCAGACCATATGCCAAGGCAAAATCACGAACAGATCTCCCCGCATGATCGGTTAAACGTGAACCGAGCCATTCGGCGTGATGGGCGTTGAAGTCGCCGAGGATCACGATCTCTGCGGAGGGGATCTGCTGTAGCAACGAATCTGCAGCCATTTGGACGTGGTCGAAGAGTCGGTCTGTTTCGGCATTACCGCTATGGGACCTATAGAGGCACCCGTAGACGCGCGGATGGTCGTCGCTGTCTACGCGTAGCCAAAGGATGGACAGGTCCGAACCTTCAAGTCTGCCGAGGCGTCGAGAACAGATGTCCTCTCTGACGTAAACGCAAACTCCAGCCCGAGGCACAAAGGAGTGTTCCAGTTTGTACCCCGGGTAGGAGAGATACGAGACATCAGCCGGAGAGGACACCTGCGTCTCGGTCAGAAAGAGCAGAGCCGGCCTCGCCGTCTCGAGATGGTAGTGGACGGCGTTTAGGTTAGAGTGAAGTCCCCTGATATTGCAGAAATTCACGGACAGCGTGGCAGGGGTCGCCTTGGTCTTGTTGCTCCGTTTGCCCCGAGCAGTTTTAGTCTTGAGCGGAATATTGCCCCCCCCCCAGAATACGCGGGGCAGCCTGAGCACCCACGCTCAGAAGTGGAGAAACATGGTCGTGGATGCTCAGCGAGGGATTCTCATCCTGGGGTAGTCTATCATTTAATTCTGCTACCATGTTGATGGGCCTCCGGCCACCTGCACTCACCAGACGAAACGCGGAAGCAGAGCTTCCACTTCACGCCGGTATTCTGTGAGATCGTGGTACCACCCCGGTTTGAGCCGGCCCATACGTGCGACAGCAAAGCTGCCGCGTGGCTCTACCACTGTTGAAACCATGTTACTATACTACTATCCTACTATACTATATACTATACTATTAACCCTCTACTTCTTATCACTTCTTTGCCTATTTATGCTGCCACATAGCAGTGCACATTGCTGTTTCGGTCTGGCGGTTCTGGCCTTTTTTACAGAAGAGGGGGAAAACGAACATGCGGCTCACCTGATGGTAAGTGACTACCGCCGCCCATGAACAACCGCAACACCAGGGGAATTGCATTGTATTAGTCTAAAAGATGTACAGTAAGTATAATATGCTGTGAGGATAAATTCTTATCTTCATTCTCAGAGGGGAAAACGCATCTGTAGTCTTCTGCTCGAAGTTTCCATGGACATCCATGGACTGCAGTAGCCACTTACACATTACACTCTGGATTGTAAGTTCATTTCTCAGAAAATTAGTTCAATTATGTTGGCCAATCTTAAGGACTAAACAGAATTATGTATGGAAGGGTATGTTAGCATTACATAAGACAAAAAATTAACACATAAAAAAAATGTTACATACCTATTATACCAACAACCAGGTAATTGGTGTTACAATCTTGAAGGAACTTCAAGGCAGACTGATTAAATTCTAAATTTTCATCCAATAACTTAACTGGTTTTGTCATTAGTTTCAGGCCGGCAGTAGGTTTTGCTTCTGTAGATTTTAATATTTATGAAAAATCAGTAAAGCTTAAGCTTTAAAAGTTTTCCAAACTATCTACAAAATTTCAGTACAGACAAATGTCATTAATTAGCTGGGTCCACATCGGACAATCCAAAATGGATCGCCGATCCAAGATCGTGGAGCTTTGATCATGTATCATACTTGTCCAATCTGGCTACAATTTCTTGCGATCCTATCGGGCTGCTCTAACACACTCTAGGCAATCCACCCTGAATCAGTCAGTTGAACTCTTGCGAGTTACAACTGCAGCAATAGCGGCAAATTTCCATGGCAGCAGCAACCTTTATTCTTTTAAAATATCGACGACAAAAATCACGATAACGAAAAAGACAGTTCCGGGAGAGAACAACGTATAAAAACCGATTGGAATATGGGACTCGGCTTTATATTGAATTAGTTAATGCTGGAGCTGAAGCTAATTTTGTTCACATGGATTAAATCAATTTGACTTATTATGTTCACTATTGAATAACAAAATAAGAAAGAAGAACAATCAAGAAGAAAAAAAAAAAATAAGAGAAAGGAAAGAATGGTACAAATTATCAGGACACCATAACTGTGAAGGAAAGATTATTATTGGCGTTGAGTTTTAGTAACTGGAGATTCATAAGTTAGTTTGCAGTATCTTTTACTTGTGTCCAAACAATTAATATCAAAAATAATTCCTGACATTTGTTAAGGTTTCTCTCGCCTGTAGTCACTATAGCCAAGAATACCACCCTTTATCCCCTGTCCTCTAACCATCTCAGACCGAGTGCTGCGTAGAGACATCTGTAGAGTGGAAAATTGTTAGCCCACATTGCTTTACCATAATGTCTGGATAGCCTATGACAGGGTCAGACATGCTGGCATTTTAAGTAAGTTTTCAGGATATAACTTATATCCTGTTCTAATCGGCTGGGTGGAGAACTTTTAAGAGTGAATGGACTCACTGTATCCATGACAATGAATAATGGAGTTCTTCAAGGGTCCATTCTATCTGCAACTCTTTACTTGCTGCATATATCAATGACCTGCTTATGCCCAGTATCTCTGGGTATGCAGATGACAGTACTCATCATAGATCCAGTCTGAAAGAGCTGCTATGGTTAAGCATATGAATCTGTCACTACAGGTAGTCTCCAAATGGGACAAAATGCAATGCTTCCAAACGCAAGCATTACTTTTCTCTGCAAAAAATCAGATTAGATAGCTAGTACAATATAAAGCACATGTCCAGTTGTTCATGGAATATTATTAAATGCACCTCAAAGCAGCATCAAATCAAATGCATGGCTGGCCTGGATTCCACCTACAGCATAGGAGTGAAATATTAGACATTTGTCTTTTCATCTGATTATAATATGGATGTCTTCAAGGCAAAAGAGAACAGGCTTTTGTTAATTTGTTTACTGCCAGTCACTTCGTATGAAGTATTACACTTAAAAACATGACTGACATCAGAGTAAGAGAATTAGTTTATTATATTTTACCATCTTTGACTGTGTCACTATTTACCATCAGGTGGAGTCAAGCACTGGTTTAAATTGTTAAACAAAAACTGTACAATAAAAATAGTTTGATAAGTTTACCCGCTCATTTGCTTCTTGCAACCACAGTTGCAAAAACAGAACCCTTAACTTTGCTCTTTGCAACTGTGGTTGCAAAGCGACGAAGTTCTTTTAATTGAATTTAGACCGTTTTTTAAATGCACGTAGTCTAACTATTACGTATTAAAACCAAAAACAAATATATAAATCATAGATTTGGATCAAAATTACTAACCTCTTGGACGAAAAATAATGAAACTTTGTTAGTTAAAGTTTAGTGAGTGAAGTGAAGCTTGAGTGGATTTAACGAGGTGATAACATATGCCGTGAGTATTGAATTTTATGGATTTTTGCTAGTATTTATATACCAAATTAATGTCTTATTAGTGTTTTCTTGTATTAAAGTAATATTTTTGCAAATACTGTATGAAAAATGTGATAAAGTCGACTTTTAAAAATATACTGAGAATGATGCAAATCTAAACGTAATTATGTTGTATTCTTTAAATACGAAATAGTCGTAGTGGTATTTGAATGTAATTATTCAATTTAAGTAATAAAGTTTTATAAATTGTTCATCATATTATAATATAAGTTTTTACTTAATAACAGCCTAGATTGTAGTTAGTTAGTTAGTTAGTTTACAATGGGCTGTTTTCCGCAACTCCATGTCTAAGCGCGTATTTTACGTGTGGGCAGGAAAAAAGCCTAGATTGTAACTAACAAATAATTGCACAATCCGTGAATTCTTCATCAGGTTTCACATTTTTACTATGTATTTAAATATAAATAGTTTTATAATATAGATAAATATATCAAGTAATTCATTAAGTTTAAGGATATAAGAAATAATCATACACATCCATCTTATTTTTTCGGTAACCCCGATGTTTTACAAAAAGTCACTAAAATGGCTTGTACTTGTGATTTCAACACCTCTAAAATATTATTGTAATCATATTTTGATAGAATAACATACGTATTTTCATTTCTTATTTCAATGGCTATTCATGAAATTTAAAATATTTGAAGTGCTCCTCTGGAGTACGTCATAAATTAAGTTTTATTGACAGCAGGTCGAACATGAGAAACACAGTCCCGACTTACTGGAAAACTAAGGTACCCTTTTTTTTGTTCGCAAGCAATCAAGCGGTTAAATACATACAAAATATAAATTATATTTTGTACAATATATATACACACATCACAATATTGATTCTACGTCCTTTCATTTCGCATTATTGTAGCGTTCACCACTTTAGGCAATTTTTATACATTATGACAGCGAATATTGGTTCATTAAACAATTTCAAAGATAGTGTTTAACTCATTTCTTTGAAAATTTACCATATGTTGATATACAAATATTCGTATATTACCAGACGGAGGGAAACCAATCGGGACTCCCTTCCATATTACAAATTATCCAGAATCCCCGTAATATACATAATTTTTAATTCATTCTCCTGCTTAACACAATTCCTTTGTATGGTGCGACGTTGCCACTCTTATTAGTAATTCCGCTTTGTAATATTTTACTTATAGGTGATATTTTGTTTATGTAGATATTCGATAGATTCCCATAGTCTGTTTTTTCGCAGGAGACAAAAATAACAGATCTTTATTAGATTCGTGTAGCACGACAGTTTTTATGATTCTGGTTCAGATTAGATTTTATTTTAGTCACTTAAGTTTCGTATATTGTTCAAAATAATGAAATAAATCCACAGAATGTGCAGTTACGAAAAATAAGAAATATCATTTTTGTCTCTGGTGAAAAAAAAAACAGATAGATATCATGATTAATTTACCAACTAGTTGTTCGTGTAGTAAATATGAAAAAATATCTAGGATCGCCCAGCCGTGATACATTATAGATTGACTATATTATTATTTATTTTACTATTGTAAATAAGTACTAATTGTAGATATTGACAGGTTTAATAGAAGTTCGTTTTCTTATATTGTGACTAATAACCTAATATGACCTTGGGAAGAAACTCATTTTAATATAAGGTTTTACTGCATTAACTGCTAATGGGTTGTTAATTTCTACACTAGACCGTGGGGTATTGTTGCTGACATAAATAACTCCGAACATATAATTTATTTACTTGATCGTATTGAGTTTTGGTGCTCTCACTGCAAGTTTACTTTTTATGATCACTATCTTAAGGATGAGTGCGAACTATTTACCTAATTTGTACAAAATTACTCTCTACTTAACTAGATTCATTTTTGTGAAAGGATATTTTTGTTAAATTATGATCTTATGTTTGGTTTTGCAGTTGAAACACAATTTGTTTTTGTTTGTTGTTATAAATATTGGGCGCTATATTACTAAAAACATGCATATCGTGCACTAATTGGTGTCCATATTGTGTCCGTACCTACGCACATTGAGAACTTTCCACGCTTATGCTTGCTTGCATTTAAGTTTCTTTGGTTATATTTAGTAACTTAGGTAAATAAACTTGTGTAAGTTGATTAATGTACTTGACATGAACGGAGTATTTACCCATATACGGACGTAAGAATATCCTAAAATATTCACACTAAGTTTTATTTGACGTCCACTTCTTCGATATCCTATGTCCAAAATTGTTGTTGATTATTGCATTTTACTATTTATTTATGTCGATTATTCATTTAGTGCTCAAGGCATATTTTGGTAATTTTTGTCGGTTTATACTGTACTCAGTGCTATTAGATAATTTTACTTTCCAATTTGTTTTCGTGTCCTTAGATTTAGCTATATATAATAATATGGACGGCCGAATATCCTAAAACATTCATACTGAATGATATTTGACGTCCATATTTTTGAATTTTGTTATATTTCTATATGTGGATGTCAGATTATCGGTAAAGTTTAATACCGCACGATATTTGACATCCATATAGCCATGAATATCTTTATATTTGAATTGCTTGTGTATAAGACACACATTAATGATCATTGATTTAATGACATTTTTCGCTATTGTTTTATTCGTATTTTAGTGTAGGGAGGCCATGCGGTATGTTAGTGTAACATAGTCACTTTAGTGTTTTATAAAATGTTTCATTCCAGAAATTATAAAACACTTAGAAGCTTAGAAAACGTGTGTGAAAAGTTAAATTGTATTTCAACTAGCTGCAAAACCAAACATAATATCATAATTTAACAAAAATAGCCTTCCACAAAAATGAATCTAGTTAAGTAGAGAGTAATTTCATACAGATTAGGTACAATAGTCGCATTCATCCTTAAGATCAGTAAGAGCACCAAAACTATACACGATCAAGTAAATAAATTATATTTTCGGAGTTATTCATGTCAGCAACAATATACCACGGTCTATTGTAGAAATTAACAACCTATTGGCAGTTAATGCAGTAAAACCTTATATTGAAATAAGTTTCTTCGCCAGACCATATTAGGTTATTAGTCAGAGGTCATTAGTCACAATATAATAAAACAAACTTCTACGAAACCTGTCAATATCTACAATTGAGTCCATCTTTCTGTACTCAATCAGAAGGTAACTTATACTCAAACAGAATTATGGGTTGCTTATGAAATACCTAACAAGAGTTCTTTTAGGCAGATTAGTACCAAATGTAAAATGTTAAAATATAGTTTAGCATGAAATAAACTGTTAAGCCAACGGGTGTCAAATATCATTCAGTATGAAAGTTTTAGGATATTAGGACATCCATATTATGTAAGGTTAAGAAAACAAGTTTAAAAGTAAAATTTCTAGTACCAAGTGCAGTATAAACCATATAATAATGTCCTGCAGACCGAATTACAGTCATGGCGGCCCGCCTCAACGGAGGCTAGCCATCGGCGCAGGACAGGATTTTAGTGCCTAGGTGTATGCGCAACCACAGGTGCAGTCTCTATTCCCTTATTCTCATAATCCGATGGGACAGTAAACCGACACGACCGGAGAGAGATCAGGCGCAGGACCAACGGCTTTACGTGCTTTCCGAGGTACGGGGGTGAGACACCGTCAACTTACTGACTCCGGGCAGCTACTGAGAATTTTTTGACAGAAAAACTCAATAATTGATTTTTGGCCCGACCCGGGATTCTAACCCAGGACCTCAAGATCAGCAGTTGCACTACTACAACCACTGGACCAACGCGGCAGTCATAACTATATATCACCAAATACAAGCAACACGTTGGCAACGGTGACGGAATGGCAACGTCGCATCTCCTAATTTTGTGCGGAAGTCAAATACGGCCACAAATGAAAGTATTCACAAATCGACAGCAGCAAAATTTAGCGGAACTACGTAAATATTCAGTACAGCAAGATTGGAAGAAAAATGACGTCCAATTTTTTTTTATAGGTTTTAACATTTCTGTGATCAGAATGACAAGTTGCGAACATTGCGCTAAGTCTCCTATTTGACGTCCGTATATTGGACGTCGTAAGCAAGTTGACGCCACATTATATGCAAAATTGGCCATAGTGGTACACATACAATCAGTTACGGGATGTGTATATATATATATTGTATTGTATTAAAAATAATGTCTTTACATAAGGCCCTACCTAATCCCTTTTTGGGCAAAGTTGTAATTGGGCACAAAGCCGTAAAAAATATCAGTATATTTTATGCATGGTTATTGAAATGGTATGGAATATCATTACCTGCACCCCTTTTATCTTTGTTTTCATTTTGAGCAATTTTATTAGGATAGTATCCATCTCCTTCTGATGTGTAAGTTTTAGGACTCTGAGGTCGATCTTCCTTCGGAGTACTCTGTTCTCGAGTCTTCAAAATTATCGTAGGTTGTTTTTCTTTTTCTAATTTATCTTTATTTTGATCTTTTGTAACGTCACGGTCCGATTTTAAAATCATGGGTCGTCTCGTAATAGCATCCTAAAATTAAGTTTCATTGTAATTTTTCAAGCATTACAAGAGCATTTTATTATAATTTTATGTAAACAACTACAACTTTTGAAAACAATATCTTTTTCTTTTTATCGGCCATTATGACAACCAGGTACCTAATACCTATACTATACAAAAAAAAAAAAAGTACTCTGTGAACTGTGATGACAATTTGCGATCATAGAGTATAGCTGTATAGCACAGAGAGAGTACAGTACATTGCCTACTCTTTGTGTTTACGTACAGCTCTGTTAACTACGTTAGTACTCTTATTAGTTTGTGGTCTACGACATTGTATAACCCATAGATAAATAAATATGTGGTATAACCTGTCCAATATGTATATTAACCGTAGACCATCCGTAGAAAGAATTATGGATTGCAGAAGTAAGGAGTACAGACTGTGTATTAAAAAGTGTCCATAGAAAACCTTTAAATAAGGGTGGCGCCACTATAGCTACGGGCTAAATTTTAAAGAACGTGCCGAAAAATATTAGTAGGATAGACGACTTTTTTGAGGTTATATTTACTAAATAAAATTATTTTAGAGCTACTGAGTAGTTTAGCAACACACTTCAAACCGTCGACAACTGCTAAGTTAATTTCATCCCAGTTCACTCCAGCGCTGTTGTGGAGAGGTTTTGAACCGTTATTTACTGCTTACAGATAACCACTTTTTCAACTATTCTACTATGGGAGTTGGTACTCCTTACTTCTACAATCCATACAGAGAATGCTAGCATCACAGAACTCTGTTACTCCTAGCGGCTAGCATTTTCTGTCTACGATAGTAACCATGAAAGTTAGAGAAAAGGAGAACGATCGTTTTAATTAATATAAACTATTACAAATATAAATTATATTTTATTATTGATTATATTATTTATAATATTTCATCATTTTTTAATGTTTCTTTTTGTCAAAAATTAAAAAAAATTACATCGCAGACATTTTACAAATTTTCAGGGACAGGCGGGTTATGCTTTAGCACGTAACGATCGTTCTCCTGTTCTCTAACCCTTATGATAGTAACTGTCCTATAGAGATTAAACAAGCTTTTATCGAAAACTGACAGCCGGCAATTAGGGTATTACACCCATTTTCAAAAAGTGTTTTTTTTTTTAAATGAATCCTTGAGTGATGTAACTGATATAATAAATTATAATAAACCACAATAATTTTTATAACCGAATAGTTCCATAAAAATTACTTTTAATCTACCTTTTTGAATTTTCAATTTTCACTTGAAAACGCTAGTTTTTCGCCATGCTGATCTACTCGTGACGTCACTGTCCCAGAATTTTGCCGATTTTGCTAAGTAATAAGATACTTCTTTATGTTTAATAATGAGTTATCATTTATATCACTGTTGTGTTGTGCCTGAATGCAAAATAAATGATGAAGATAAAGAACGCCAGGAAGTTACGGATTCAAGTGCCAACTGATTTAAATATGAGAAATATTTGGTTAAAACTGATAAGAAGATACCTGAATACATTATCAACAAAAACTAGACTACTCTTCTGTGAAGATCATTTTCAAGTAAGTATGACTTATATTTAACTATAGTTTATTACAAAACAAAACATCATGAGGTGAAGGGTATCAGAAGTAAAATTTTGTAATAAATTACGTTAACTTAGGTAATATAACTAATGATTGCTAATGATTGTAGTTATAGATAAACTAAACTATGACAGCTACTTTAGTAACTGCCATAGTTTCATTTATGTATAATGTATTTAGTTTATGTATTTATTACCATGTTTTATCAAAATACACTCTGACCTGGTATTGTGTTTTTGTACAAAAAAAGTTGGTAATAGGTACTAACTAAACTTAAAATTGGGATTGCATGCAAAATATTATGGCACCATCAGTTTATTTATCCATCACGTTAATATATAATATACTTTCTGCTCTTATGAATTCGTCTTTCATGGTGCCTTTAATAAAATTCAGAATAAAACTCAATAATCGTAATGATAACTTGAAAATTTTCGAAATAACACAGCACATTAGCTATTTCTCTTAATTAGTGACTCAGAACACTAATACCCTTAGGCTGGATCAGTAACGTCACGATAGTGGCTAATATGGCGGACAGCGTTTTGCACGTAGGCAGAGAATGCTATAAACAAATTGATATCTTTTGTCGCAGTCACACAAGAGAAAGAGCAAGTTACGCCGATGTCGTATAAAGAAAAAAATAGAACGATGAGATTTTTTGTTTCAATGAGCGTGCCACGTTTTTCAAGGTTAGCACACTACTTTGCTAAGCAATGTTTAACAGCTAACGTGTAGCATATGTAAAGTGTAGCTAATGTGAGATATCGCATTTTAATAATAAACAGTTTTACGAGCTTTATGTAAAGTAATTCATATTATATTTTGTTGTGAACAATTAAGACTTAGTACTCCAACCATTTTAAAAAAATCATGGTGCGCTGTAGTGTTTAAGGGTACAAAAGTGATAGCGGAACGAAAATGCCAGAGTGGTCTTTTGGGTGATTCGTAAGCATACAATTCTTTATCAGTTACTAGGCATTCTGTAAAATTTTATAAAATTCATACATTGTGTATAATATAATCTAGAAGTAAATTTATCGTTAAAAAAAGCAAATAACAACGATAGTAAAATTTAAACCTAAAATCTTTGGTGTTGCCAACTTTTGTATAAATTATTAAACATTATATAAATTATTATCCACTATTACAGGAAATAATAATATGTTATCTGCAGTGTCTATTTATTAAATATTTGACAGATTTAATGGCTGGTTGCAGTTTTCCTGAAGATTGTAATTTACGTCGGAATTAGATTGTAGCTACAGGACGAACAGATTAAATACCAAAACCGTTAACAAGAGTTTGCAGCAGACATTTTAATTTAGCATTCATGTAATTAAACAATAATAAATAATATAATATTATTTTCTTACGACTTTTTATTTTGCAATGTATTCTACAGTATGAATATAAATTACCTTCGTTATAATGTTGGTATATTAATTCATTATCAAGCCGTTTAATCAAGGAATCTTATGAATCCAAAAGTGTGGCAGGTTTAACATACAGATCACTTCATTTCAAATTGATCCTGCTGTTGACCTACTGCCGTCGACTAGCAAGCATGGATGAGATGGCTATAAGGAAGCACGTCCAATGGAATGGAACAAAATGTGAAGGTCTGGTGAACTATGGGGTAGCTTTTGATGGATACGGATCACGCATGGATCACGCAACAAAAGCATTAGAACCCAAGCAAAAAACAGAAACTTTCGTACGAAGCTTGTTTTGTTTAAAGGACAATAATCAATAAAATCTTAGTATTATAGTAAAAACGGGTTGTATTATTTACTCACGAAGCCAGAACATAACGAAAATGAATATGAGTAGAGAGTAGTAATATGAGGTATGAAACATAAAAGGTTTAAAAACAATTTTCTAGGACCGGATTTGGTGCAGAGCTTCCTATAAAGACACAAAAATGAGATTTCTCAAAGATATTGTGAAAATATCAAGCTTGTGAGAGCTAAGGGATCTGCAGATACTATTAAAGAATATTTTATCGTACTTGAGAAGTCTGTAAATGGTCTTAAAAATATTATTTTATTTTATTTCATTTAAATAATAATACGAATAAACTGTTAAGTATCTTGTAAGATTTATTGAAAAGAGTTCATTAGCATTCCGAAAAAAATGAAACCATTTATATACATAGACATAGGCTATAGATAATAGGGTATCAAAAATATAAATTTATGACTGTTTTTGTAAAAATTAAACGAGAAATATTGATTTCTGTTCATAAAATTGCATTATTAATTTTATATTCCAACTTTAAGAATATTTTTTTCCGTCTGTACCGCAAAACCGTAGACAGAGAATACTGTTGCGCGCCATAATGCCCGGTATATGGTGGCTAATTATTGGCGCCATTTAGTATCAAGTAGCAGAAATAGGAGCGTCAAGATCTTTCTAGAAATCTCCCACTAGCGCCATCTGATGTCGAGTGGCGAGGACTTTCTAAAGGATTCTTTGTTAGAACTTTCAACATTGTACTCGAACATTCTAGATGTTTTCGGTGGAAAAGGTTCCATTTCAAGGTTTAATTAGTGTTCGGTAATTAAAGTGTCAATTTTGGTTATTCAATCGTCGCATAAAAGTCGGTAAGGAGCGCGACCGGGACAGTATTGAATTGGCGACACAAGCGAAGACTTCGGAGTGAAATAATGTGAACTAAAGTGTTAAGTGTGATTAATTATTACTGTGTTTTAAATTTTAATTAGTGTTCGGTAATTAAAGTGTCAATTTTGGTAATTCAATCGGCAGTTTTTACTGTCACAAACCCTAAGCTCGTAACAGTTGGTGTCAGAAGTGGGATAAAATCATGCCGATATTATCTAAGGACGACACGGAGTGTGTCCGTACCGGAAGTCAATGCTAGCAGGAGACGGACCAGAGACGATTTGGTGGTGCAACGTCGCAGACGTCGGAGGGCCAGCCATCAGCCACGGAGACCGGTCCATTAGTAGCTCCTATATCTGCAGCACCTGACTTAGTTGCTATGATGGTGATGCTGCAGGAGCAGGCTCGCCGACAGGATGAGCAGGCCCACCGACAGGAAAAACAGGCCCGTGTGTTGGAAGAACAGCTGCAGTGCAGACAGGAGGAACAGGTCCGTCGGTTGGAAGATCAGCAGGTGGAACAGGCCCACCGATCGGAAGAGCAGCTGTGGGGCGGACAAGAGGAACAGGCACGTCGGTTGGAAGAGCAGATGCTCCTCATGAAGGACCTTCACGTTACCTTCGGGAAAAAGATAAGGGAGGTGAAGGACAAGGTTGCTCAACATGACAACCACCTTTCGGAAGCTGAAACCCGAATCGACCAAGTGAACAATCGGGGTTGACAACGTGATGGCGGGGGTGAAGAAAATGCTGGACGACCTCAAACTTGGGGATGGAATTACGGCTCCCGTAGTAGCTACAACACCTTCACTATATGGATTCAAAGTCGACCGTTCAACGGGACTTCTTCCTGGTCGGCCTACAAAATCCAGTTCGAGGCTGTTAGGGAGGCTAACGGCTGGAATAAAAG